GCCCGAGCCAGGCCTCCGCAGTTAACTTTACCTCCAAGGAGTGTGTAACAATCCGTCTTCCTCTCCGCGCTCTCCCCCGTCCATTTTGTCAGCCGCTCTGATGGCTGACGCAGAGCTTACACTGGCAGGGAGGAGAGCTTTGGCAGCCAGCGCGCCTCAGCGAGCTCTGGTGGCCACAGCGGCTCGACCGCCGCGGACCACCGGCCGTGGCTGGAGGCGTGCCAGACTGCTGACGGTGCCTTGGCCCTGCTCGTGGCCTTTTTGTCTGTCACCTTGGCCACTTGCAGCATGTGAATTTTAAGGGGTCAGGAAGTTCAAGACCTTTACACTTTTCTGCCCTTTGGGCAGATCAGTCTAGTTTGAACTGGGAGGTAAACCTCCCTCTTCATTAACTTACCCTTGGACTTACTCCCTGTGGATATATTACACCTGCTTTAAGGCAGGTGCCTGCATGCCAGATGAACAACAGAATACGGTACTGTGCACATAAATTGCAGAAACGGATGCTTCCTAGTCTTGCCCTGGGCATTCCAGCCCTTTCAGGGGCTAAACATTTCCTTTTTGGCTAAACTAATTCTCTAGTGGCAGCTTCTTTCCAGCCATGCTTCAGCTGGAGCTCTGGGCTCTTTTTTCAAGCTTAACCCTAACCTTAAACTGAGCCCTAGGAAAGACACTGCAGCACCTCCCTGGACTATCAGTTCCTCAGGGGGAAATTCTTTTTGCAGCCCTTCATTTTCTTTGGCAGCTCAACTCCAACTGGAGCTTTGGGCTTTTCCTTTCCACCAGCCTAACTCTAAGCCTAGGCTGATACAAAGGCTTATGACGTGACTCTGCCCAGAACCTTAATATTACTGGAAGAATTCTTTTGGCAGTCCCATTTCTCCTTTGCCAGCCCCATCCCAGCTGCATATCAGGCTTTCTTGTTCTCCTAGTGCTAGTGCTAATCCTAACCATAACCCTAGTTTGAGCTGTGAGACAGGCACTATTGAGAAACACAGTATTCTTCAGAGGAGGACTCTTCTGGCAGCCCTATGTTTGCTTTGGCAGGCTCTTTCCAGCCCCACTCTAGCTACAGCTCTGTGGTTTCTTTCAGCCTTGATGCTACATGTGGGCATGGTTCTTCACAGCCAAGTAAAACAGACTGTGAGAGCCTTGAGCAGGATCAAAGACAAATAAAAAAAAAAAAAAAAGGTGTTGAATGTAGAATTAAATACAGAAATAGAATAGGAGTATGGATACACTTTTAAGGACTGTGAGATGAGCCCTTCTGTATCTTGGAACCTCCTTGCTTAAACTATAGGAAAGGAAATACAGTGAACTGCTAGTTCACAAAATGAAAGTCAGCTAAGAGAAATCAGATGTGGGAGAGGACTAAAAGCGCACCAACACATAGGATCTTTAAGAAGAATTTGAATGAGAACGAAGCAGCAGAATGCATGACAAAAGGGTGAAAATTCCACCAGAGGGGGCCAAATCTAATGGGATTCAGGGTCTGATTCTTACTTACTTTGGTGCTTGTTTACTTTCCTTTGGAGTAAAGGAAAATCCAGAGCTTTGAAGTCTATTGCCCTGAGGTCTCCTACTACGGAAGAAAAAAATGCCAGTTTCAGGCCACAAATATCTTGTTTATTTAGAGCCTTCTAGTGTTTATTTCAGAGTTTGTAACACTCTATAATTGTTAGGTACTAAAGGATTCATTATAATAATTAATATTTAAATTTATAATTCAGTTATTAATAGTCATAATTTATGCAAGGAATCAAACTTATCTCTTTTACTGCAGCATGTAATCATGTGAAAAATCTCCTGGGACTTTCAAATAAGATCTTCAATCCAGCTCTGTCCCAAATTGTTTCTTAAATAGATAGTTTTGCCAGAAGCAACCCAAATCCACACAGGTCCCCCACTGAAGCAAATTCAGATGTTGAGGCTTTTTCTGAGAAATCTGCCTGCTAGCAGATACTCCTCTTCTACTAGATAGTCAACATATGTGAATGCTCCAGCCAGTGAAATTGGTGCTCGAGTGGGAAAACAGTGGCCTCTTATGTAAGCAAGTCCCAAACCATCTAAGAGTTTTTCCGTTAAAATCAGCAGGTTAGATCCTATCTGTTGGAACCACTGCAACATGACCATTTCTCTCCAGCAGGAAGGCAATCGCTTCAGTCACTGTGCCACCTGGTATTACTGCAGAGCTTCAAAGCAGCTGGCTGTGCTTTTGCAGTAGTTCAAGCTCACGCTGACAAAAGCATGGATAACAGCATGAGTGAGGCTCGTCAGTGAGGTGGCAGCCAAATGCACACACAGAAATTTGCTTTTTAACTCTGATGCAGTTCCTTCACGGGGCTGTGTTCAAATGCAGTGTGTGTCCAGTGCCTGGCTCTGGGTCCAGTGCTCTTTAGCATCTTCGTTAATGACCTGGATGATGGGACAGAGCGTATCCTCAGGTTTGCAGATGATACAAACCGGGGAGGGATGGGCGATACACCAGATGGTTGTGGTGCCATCCGGAGGAATGTTAGTTGGCTGGAGAACTGGGCAAACAGGAATGTCACGCAGTTCAGCAAAAACGAGTGCAGTGCCCTGCACCTGGGGAGGAACAACCCATCCACCAGCACAGGCCGGGGCCACCCCACGGGAAGGCAGATTGGCAGAAAAAGCCCATGGGGTGCTGGTGGACACTAGTTGAACATGAAGTACAAACATAATGATGACTCCTGAAGGATCTGAAGCACTTTTGGTCTCTCAGAATTGATATGCACCAGTAAGAGGTGCTTGGAAAAGAGTTAACATTTTCTCCAGGTGGTACTTAAAAAAAAAGATATTTCCAAAGAAACATACCAAAAAAGCAAAAGCACAAAGATAATGTTTTTTTGAAAACAGGTGAACAGTTCCTTAAAAATCAGAAGTATAAACGGGAAAACTTGTACTGACATAAACATTTCCTACAACTTTAATTTCAGTGGGCCATGTTTTCACCTACAACATGTTCTGCATTTGCTGGAAATGTTACAGTTCTTTAGGCAAGATCAAGTACATTTTGATATTAAAGGGTTAATATCCAATTAGAAATTTTGCAAGATCAGAAAACACTAGTGTGAAGGGACCTGAGTGTCCCAAAGGGACATGTGAAGCTGGTCCAAGCCCTGCCCTTCTGCCGGGCCGGAGCCGGGCAGGGGAGCGGCCCTTGCCCCGTCCTGGCCCGGCTCGTTCCCAGCAGCAAAATGTCCCATGAAGGGCCGATACCAGGGCGAGAGGGGTGGTGGCTCCCGCTGCCGTGCCCAAGGGGGAAAGCTGATCTGCCAGCCTGACTCCCAAAGAAACTAGTCCAAATTCCTCTCCTCTCTTGTATGAGAAACATCATATATTTTCAAACAGTAAAATCAGTCTGTTCTTGCAGATAAATGGTTTCTTGATGGATTTTGTTGTCTTACCATGAAAGCAAGGACCGTGAGCAATGCAGTCATCTTCCAGGGGATCCCACGTGACACGTTTTCAGCCATGTGCTCTGCCTCGCCAGCCACCTGAAATGGGACAGTAAAAACTAGTTCAGCCTAGTGCAATCCTGGAAAGCCACATGAGCCACAAGAAGCCCATTATTTTGTTAACAAATATGGTCAGCGTCAATTTTGAAGCTTAAACTTTTAACTCCGCTGCTCTGCCATCCTCCTGCAGAAAAAGGCAGTTGTTCACATGGCTGTGTTCATCATCAGAAAATAAATAAATCTGTGGTTAGCACAATTTCTCCTTAGGGTAAACTGCCATTGAAGTTTTTCAAATTATAGCTGAAGAAAAATATTTTGAAGGTTTTCTGGCTGTGCCGACTAACACTCCAGATATCTCTCCCAGCAGATTACACGGGACTCTTGGACTTAATCTGTTCCTGCTATTCATGTGACAAATGCATATTCATTAAGCATTATGTTCTTATTTTAGATTAGATATCACAAAACAGTGCAGTGTGGAGGGAGTTTGGGGAGAGAGTACTGATGTCTTTCTCAAAGCCTGTCAAGAAAAAAAATTGCCATTAAAAAGAATATTACTTTACAGTGGAAAAATAAAGTATTTGGATATAGCTTGTTTCATGCAGGAATGTGAGCAGCAAGAGCAGGCTGGGATGTGCCAAAAGTGAAGCAGTGTCCATATTTTCTACAGGGGTGAGAATTTTGGGGGTCTTGGTTTATTCAGGCAGATCTCAAAACATTTCTAACAGGCCGTTGCTTCATTACAGTGGTACTGAACTGTGCTGGCACTGAGGTTAGTGTCTTCACTCATTTCTGCTAGAAAGTTTGCACCTCATTAGTTTTCAGAAGCATTGCACTGAAATTCGGACTGCAGCCTGTGTATTCTGAGGACACGCATGTAAATTTTCATTAAGCAATAGTAACTTCGATGTAGTAATACTGCAGCTGGAATTGGAGAAAAAGTTTGTGTGTGTTTACGAGGAAATTTCCTACCCTCTCTCATAAGAACCATCAGCTCTAGGGGATTTCACATGTTTTACCTATCTTGCTTAAGTAAAACGAATGCATTGTGGCAGGCACCTCTGGTGTAATGTCTTCTGGGTTAAGCGATGGCTGACTTTTTGTGCGTGGTTTGAGCACATCAAAACCAGCCTTCTGGAGCTACTGTAGAAGCTTTTAAAATTAATTTATACCAACGTGTCACCCAGGTTGTATTCAACATTTTTTGTAGGTTGGATTCCCTATGGCCAGACCAATAATCCCGATGAACTCTTGTCTCTGCATCTGTTTCCTTCGGGCAGAGGTGCCCTTGCTACAGCCTTGTTTGCCCTACACAGCCATGTCCTCTTACTTACCGGTCCCTGGTCACTGCAGGTGCCCAGGCCTCTTCTCCCTGCTTCTGACGTTCCCCCGGGCTTCCCCTCGGTACAATTCTGACCCTCTTTGTGTGCTTCCAAACCTGCTGGTTTATCCTTGCTTTCTCCCCGACCTTCATCGGTAGCTTCCCCCTTCTGTTCCTTCTCCCATACCAGCTGTGAAATGTAATCAACTCTTGGTTAAAAGCAGTTGCAGTCCTTCCCCTCATTTTCTTAACAAGTCATCTGCTTACTTTTTTCCAGATATTAAACAGGAGTTTTGATACTAAAGAGCATTTTCTTTCTAAACATACTGTGGGATTCATTCTGGCCCAGGCAGTCTGTAGCCACTTAAACAAATCTTTTTGCCCTGCCAAAAGGTAATGCTAAACATTATCAACTGCTAAAATAAACTTCAAAATTCGGAAGTTTGATATCAAGTCATATTTTCTATTATGTATTTTAAATCTTATTTGGAAAATGAGGGCTAGAGCATTCATTTCTATTCCCAAATTTAACCAGGGTTAAAATACATCAAGATCTATAAACTTTGATGTCAAATCACCAGTTCAGTCAATCGCTTAAGCTTGTGAGTAACTATGATACTACTTGGAACAAGGAACTCTAATATATTCAACTTAAAGCACATGCTCAGAACTGCTGCTTTAGTTACTCAGCAGCAGTGCTTTCGTTATTCAAGTGCTCAGAGATTCATGAAGAAGAGTGCTTTGGTGAACAGGGACCTGACATTGTACGCTTACAAATAAACACATAAAATAGAACGTTTTGTTCACTGAAGATCCCATTTGAATAAATTATACATAAAAGGACATTTCTTTTTCTTGATCCATGTTCAGAGTCTATAGCATGAATTATTTATTTATATCAGAGGATAAAAGCTGAAACAGTTTAAAAATATTTTTCAATGAAAGGGTGAAATCTGCATTTACAGCATGAGACCTCTCAACCTCCAGGAAACGGCTATTCATTTCGTTTAAATACAACAAATACTCATTTTCCTAAATGCTTGTTAACTCTATACTGTGGCAAAAAATGACCCACGGCTTTTTCTAAAATTGCTGCTTGTGCTTTCTTATTACTTTTAACATGCAGGGTGCTGTTCTTCTGCAACTTCTTGGAAAAAAAAACACCCTCTTTGAAATTCAGTAAGTGTTAATTTAAAGTGATTGGTTTCCACCTGGATGGAGTAAAATTTTCTTCTTGGGAAGTTTAGTAGTACATTAAAAGATGCAAATTAATTCATAATTCTTTCAGCTCATTCTCTTGGGAACAATTACACAAGGAAATTATTAATGTACAAGAAAACAACAGTTAAAAATCTCAAAGGGCAACAGGGGTGTGGAATGTATGAAAACATTTAGACCTAGCTAATAGCAGAACTCACTTATAACAATAACAGTTCATAAACCAATTTTAATTTTTTGCCCTTTGTAAACTGATAGCATCCACATGGTACAGGCAAGGAATCAAGGACCCTGGCAAAGTGAGTCTGCAGTCAGAGGTCCTGTTCCCAGTGAAGTGCTGCAGGAACAGTGTGAGAGGTTGAACACATGCTACCAGGGCTTCTACGATCACAGCCAAATGCAAGGCTGGAATCGGTTCCCCCGTCCCTGATGTATACCAGTCCAGGATGATCGCATACAAGACTATCATTTCAGTGTAAGCTTCTGCACTCTGATAAGTAAGCCCAATGTTTTCATCTGAATAACCAAAACCTCTCAGAATCCAGTTAATATTTGATGAAAAAACAGCAAACAGATTTGCTTTTTAGGCTTCTTTGATGCACTTATTTTTTCTTCTTCTGTTTAAGGTGTTAAACAACTCAACCACTTTCCATTTTTCTTTTCATAATTTATCTGGCATGCTTTTAATGTTACATATCTGATGAAAATTTCAAATATTTTTACCATCAGAGTCGTAACAGAGGCTACCACCAGGATACCTGTAATTACTTTTGGCTATCTGCTTCCAGCACTCCCTGACATCTGGCTAGCAATGAAACGTGTGCTCGAAATATTGTAAAACAAGCATCACTACTGAGTAGTGATCACTACCCTAACGTGGGCATTATCCGGGCTTGAAGAATTTGCCCTTTTTAAACTTGAAGCACAGCCACACAGATATAATGCACACAGATCAAGCCTCTGTTGACCAATACGCATTTCCTTGAGGTGTCTACGCTGAAAGTCTGATCATAGCTTAATGCACTGGGCAAGACAATGAACAGGGACATCACCTGAACTGAGAACAAGATTATGGATATGAAGGAATGAAATAACTTCTATTAGACTTGCTCACATATGTCTTTCTCTACAGACTCTGAGGAGTACTGTTTACAAATAAAATACATTTGAATTTGAAGAAATAAGATGCACTGCAGATATTTCAGTTTTCAGAACTGCTTAAGAACTGAAATAGTAAAAATCTAAATAACATGAATTGACAAAAATAAATACTCAAGAAGAGTGGACACGGTAGAGCTGTTGTACGTACTAATCACCCAGACAAAAATCCAGTTTCTAAATACAGCAATAATTATTGTATTTTCTAGTGACGGTGGGCCACTTCCAGAAGTCCCTCCCTTAAAAAAAATTTTCAAAATTCTGAATTAGAGGCATTGTTTTGATGATGTGTATAAAGGAAGAGAGAAGTTTCTACATCTTAAAAAATAGTATGTTTGAAAATACTGGTCGAATTCCTGTTCTGTCCTGCTCCTGCAGTTGCCTGACTGGACGCATGTGTTTCCCTTTGCCAAGCTAAAACAGGCAGTTTGCTTCCAGAGGAGCAATTCTATCTCACAGTTCAGTTAAGGCTACTGAGAGAAATCAAGGATTATTACCTATCTAATGCCATCATTCTGTATATTCAAAAAAACCATATGGACTTACCGGGAAAAAAAGGCTAGACACTTTATACGTAATTAATTTAACATCCCTATGCAATTCAAATCCTACTAGCCTCTTTTAGTTAGCTGCTGGTTTCTGCTGGAGACCAAAATCCCCATGAGCTGGGAAGGAGATGCCAATGATTCAGAACATCTCTGAATGAGAATACTGACAAGGGGCCGTTATGGTTAAACCGTTTTCAAATGCAAATTTAACTCTACGGAAATGCAAGCACCAGGGTTTTTTGCTGAGGGCAGGAGAATACCTGCTATCTTTCATGTCATGTTTATTTTTTGCCCTTAAGAAACCCTCCAAAACCCAACAACATAGAAAACTTCAGAGGAAGAAGAGGTCTGATACGCCGTGGGCAGTAAGAGGATGAGGGCAGACTAAGCTTTTTATAACCAAAATTTTCATTCTGTAAGACTTTGCTTCAGGCTGTTAAATGTGAAACAAGCTGATGGCATCAATTTGATTCTGAAGGGTCATGTGTGTCCGTGAGAAAGCTCTGATTGAACTTAACTTGGGACTGCATTTCTCTGACTTAAAGGATGAAGTGGACAGAGATATCCCGTGTCACCACTGCAGCGATTTCTCACAAGGCTGTAGCACCAAGGTTTGCTAACGGAGCTCCCTCAGCTGTTCCCTGTGTGATGCGTCTTTGGTGGCAAACCAACACCAGCCTGGCATAAATGTAAGTGCCAGAAGTGCACGATCTGAGAGGATCAGGGTAAAACCCTGGAGAAAACAATATTCAAGTTAAGTGCCATCATTGTTCTTGAGAAATCACTTTGGTAGCTATTCTAATTATGGCCATTCCCTCTCTGTATAGACAGGAGACACAGAAAAGAAATGTCAGGTGAGGACAGTCATCTTGGAGTGTCTCCCCTTTAGACACGAGCACAGAGGCCTGGGTTAACATAAGAACTCAGCAGGCTGCAGATAAAGAAGGTGAGAGCTCCTCTAAATGTCAGGCTCTGGGTTTGATTCCTGTATTTTGGGGGTTTGGCCTTTAGCATTGTAGTCATTCAGAAAGCAGCTGCTGATTACTACCAAAGCAAAATCTGTGATATAAATGCGTGAAACTATGAGACACGGAAGGAAATCACTTTGAAAATGCAGCGATGCCTCATTGATCCAGCAAATTCACTTAGGCTGCTGAAGTGTTCCCATCCCCGCGATCAAAGCATCGCTCATCTACCAGAGGTGGCCAGGTGAGACATAGCTCAGGTGGTGCAGTTTCCTTCCCAGTAACTAGAAAGCAAATGAACTGGAATTTTGAATCTCAGCATGAAAAATAATCTTCATTTCTTTGAAATGGGTATTGTTTCACCTGTGATCACAAATGAGAATGAGTGGTGAGCAAGTGCCATAAAAACACCTTGGCTTAGTTTTAAAGGTATTTGTGGGAAGTCTCACTTATTGCTAAATGATGGAGAACTGTTATAATCTGTTATAGTTAATTTACTACTACATAAGTAAAAACATGCTAAGAGCAGCATGCTTGTTAAATTAAAGCTCACTTAATGATTACACAGCACTTGGGAATAACATCTAGGTAAAGAGTAAGCAGTAAATTGAAGTTTTCTTTAGAATAATTTATTTCAGGGAAATAAGATGACCGAAGCCCTTGACATTTTTGCTGATTATGAAAAGAAAAACAATTTCAAAAAGTAGACTAGAAGGGATTTCTTCTTGTGATTACTGGAGAACTTAGTGCATCTGATAAAACTTCCATGAGAAGGCTACTGGCTCTAATTCTCCACCCCATTAGAGGGGGCTGAGCTGAGGTCAGTACTGTTACCTTGCTGTATCACTCTTACAACAGACTGAAGAGCAATCAGATAAAATATGGGACTGGATACTACCTAATATCTAGCCTCTTTGTTGCTTTTTTCTTGTCACCACAGTATCTTAATATGTGATGTATTAAATCAATAGCAAGAGCAAAATCCCAAGCCTCAGATCAAAGCTAGTGTTTTCCTCTTTATAGGAGTGAGGATTTTAGCTGACTCAGGGTTATTTTGGGGGTAACCTTGGTAATCCTGGGGTGGTGATGAGAATGGTGAGGGTAAGTAAACAGTAAAGAGATGGAAAGGTGTTCCCTTTAAGGGTTAGATTTTAGCATGTTTCTTTATGTTAGGACTTAACATAACTAGATAATTTTACAAGTGCTTAATAGTATTTATTCATAAAAGGTAAGCTCTGCTCTGCAGTCTGTATCGTACAAATCATTTAGCATGCACCCAGGAAAGTTGAGATATCCGAGTGAAAAATAAGCGTGCGAAAAAGTGAGATCCATAGGGCCCCTATTTTTGAACATAAGGTA